TTCTCCAGCTTCCCACACATACATACAAACAGTATAAAATATTTTGAAGAAATCTCATTTTTTCCTCTTATGTGCATTTAAATTTTCAGTTGTTTCCTTGAACGTTTTACACACAACTATATTCTGTTAGCCAATACTTTTCTTGAGAGTACAAACCTACTCCAAGTTTGTCTATCAAAGTGCTATTACATTTTACGTTGAAATCTAATCATAGTCTACAAATAATTTTTCCTCAGCCAATGTGTGTTCAGAAAACAATACACAGGCTGCATTCCACACGCAATCATGCACACGCTTCTTTTTGTTTTTCCTTAACCTCTAATATTTTAGGTAACTGAGCAATGTGTGAAACTTACAGCTGTCCAGGCTTCTTTGCTGCATCGAGAACACAACCATTCATTATGGATTTTGTAAGAGGGAACACCGTAGCAACCTAGAATAAAAGAGAGATGGATTGATTAAAGCATTGATGTCATACAATTCAACTGTGTATAAACACTAGTAAAACACATCTGCTGTGACCAAGGAGACTTTTCAAGTCTCAACTTACTGCTAATTCCATAATCTATGAAATATATAAATTAGACACACACAAACTCTTCCCAAAAGTAAAAAAAACCCCACCACCCTCAAAAAAAAAAAAACCAAACCAAACTGAAAATTGAAACAAACAAAAAAAACCACCCCAAACACCCAAACTCTAGGGAATTTCTTATTTTCTTGCAGTTCAATAGCAAATCAGAAACTCTCCATGCAGAAAAACTGTACAATTTTAATTAATGTACCGACATTCATTCTATGCAATTATACCATACTTCCATGTAAGAATTTTACATGGAACTTCTTAACTCTTCAAGCCCTGCTGTCTAGAGAAGAGACTGCAGAAAATCCATGCATTCACCAGTCACTCTTGAAACCAAAAAAGAATGCAAGATGAAGGAAATAACTGTCAACAGCAACATTCACAAGCCCTCAAATCAAGCAGGATTTCACCCTGACTAGTTAATAAGGACATACTAACATCCCACAGAGGTTTAAAATATGAGAAGTAAAATACGAATTTAACAGCTCAGAATTGAGACAAGAATCAAAAGTTTGTGATTATTGAAAGTTTACAGAAAAGTCAATTCCTCACAATTTTCACAGCAATCATTTACACGCAATAGAAAATGTAATGTAGTTTCTTAAAGAAATTAGCCAGTGATTGAAGTAACACGGAAATGTTCTTCAAGTACTTTTAAAGACATATCAGAAGCCTAGTTAACTATCGCTTATCAATAAAACAAAATTTGAAACTACATTTCTTCCAACTGAACAATTAGTTTATTTACTTGCATGAACCCGTACAGAACACTTTGCACAGGAAATCAGAAGACTTGTTCCATCTTCTTCGATAAAGGCATTTGATGGATAGTTTTCAGTGTTTTCTTCACTATAAATAAAACACATCTCTGGAATAAGAGGTTTAGTCTTTTCATTTTCAGCCATCAATGTTTCTGCTGAGTTTGCTTCCCCGAAAGTAGGACTTTCTTCATCATGATTGTCTGGCTGGAAAATAAACAGAATTTATACTTACGCAAAAAAAAGGACAGTTAGTCCTACTCTTCCTTTTGTCAATGATGAAATGACTTTTCCCCTCCCAGCTCTTGCACTAAAAATGTAACAGTTCTGTGAGAAAATTAACTGCTTCTAGGCATCTATCACAGTCATTCTATAGTTCCTTCATTGTTCAAATAAATGTGAAATCTAGACTAGCACTTAGCGTGCAAGCTAGTGTTATTGCAGCTATGTTCAATGATACTGTACCTCTGTCTCCCTTTGAGCCCTTTAACTGGGTCCAGTGCAATAAAAGTTTTCTTCTTAGTTCCCATGCTGAGGGGATTCCAGTTTAGCAGCTTCAGAATTAGTACCATAGTACTACAACAGCATTTTCAGCTGACGTTTGACACAGGAATTCCACAAGCCAGTATCAAACAGTGCATTAGATTGTTTCTATGGGAATATGATTCCCAAGAAGGCTAAAGTACTGTGAAAACACTTATTTCGTCAACACTGTGGGAAGGAAATGTAGAAGAGCCTCCAAAAAAAATGTATTTAAAGATGGTCATATAAGGAAATAGTTAAAAGATACAAACCTATGTGGATTCATCACCTCCAAAAGCGTAATTTCAAGAGCAACCACACATACATGAACACCACTCCTACATAAACCCTAGCAGAAGGCATACACTGTCTGCAACCAAGGATAAACGCAGGTGAACAGAGTATCAGTTCTAATTGTATCAAAACTGAGTTTATTTACTTCTCATACAAATCAAATGCCTAAGCTTATCTTATTTCTAATTTACTGGAAATGAAGTAGCTGGGCAGCTAGTTCACGCTTCACCCAGAGGTGGAGTTGTTAGGATCTTGCCCACCTTGTAGTATGGCATGAGGAGAGTGCAAATGGCACAGTGCGGTTCCTTTTTTGCACAAGCTGCATTGTAGTCTTTTTCAGCATTGAAATTAGGTACTCTTGTCTGCCAAAGGTAGACCAGAGGCCTGGCCCATGTCTCTGACTCTTGAACTTCCTCTTCAATTAAGGTAGTCTCAGGCAGTTCTTAAAGAAAAAAAAAAAAGCAATTGGTTACATTGTAGCCTTGGAATGAAGACAAACAACAATGATCCCACCAAGTGTGCTAACAATGAAGATAAAACAATGCTATAAGAAGTCTGCGTGTGAAAACAACTGCAGAAGTCTGAAAGAATCATGCATCAGGACAAGCAATACAAAAAAGCACTTCGACACCTCTGTCATGAGCTGACTGCTCCACACAGAGCGTAAAGTATGTCACTAGTTCTACTGTTTACAATTTGTATTAATATCCACATTACATCTCACTCTCTCACTCCTTAATTCCTCCAACCTCTACCCCATACCCATCCATGCACTCTGCCCTAAGTTCCTTTCAGATGGAACATGTTGCATCCTGCCTAGCGGCACCAGATAAATCACTCTGTTCACCCACACTGGCACCTCTCAACTCTTTATGGAGAATGACACTCATTTTCCAAAGGTAAAAAGAGACAAATGTTATAGCCAGGGACTAATGAGGAACAATCAGATCTAAGATGTGGCTGAACGTGCATGCTGGACGCCACTACCGGAAAAATTATTTGGTAGTATCAGTGATTTGTTCTGGATGTTGCAAAAGTTTGGTTTACTTATTAGCAGTGTTTCCATGCAGGACTCTATAAAGGTGACTTCATGAAATTAAACACCTCTAGAAAAGCTGAGAAATAAAATTAGACTGAAACTCAAAGAGAAATAGCTTATTCAATAGGAGAAATCTAAAAATGTAATTGTTTGCTATAAAGAAAGTCGTGGAAAAGGGAAACCTGTGAAAAAGAGACTGGGTGTAAAATCCTTGCCCCAGTGAAATCAATAGCAGAATTATTAATGATCCAGTTAACACCAGAATTTCAGCCTAGTCACATGTTTGAGCTGCCTGGAAACCTCAAGGTATCTTCACAGGCAACCTAGGCACTTTGCCACCTGTGAAATACATAGATTATGAGGAGGAAAATGTCTTTTCATTCTTGAAAGGAAAGCATTGATGACAGAAGATGTTAAGTATATTTTTCTGGATTGGGTCCTTATACACTGCTCTGATTAATGATGAGGTCTGTGGTTCTGCTCATTCAAGTGGAGAGTGCCTATTAAATCTTTCTTGATCAATGAGAAGGCATGTAGGTGTCAATTAGAGTAATTAAAATAATGTGACTGTAGGAAGGAAAATGTGGAAAGTTATTGAATAGAATTTTCAGATAACAAACAAAGGTCTATAGTATGCAGTCCTTTTCTAATGATGTATTGAAGAAAAATTGTTTATTTCAGAAGAAGAAAATTCCAACAACAGAGAGATGTTTAATGAAGTACAATAAGCTGAATCATCACATTCCTTCAGCCCATGACTGCCTTCCACTTTATGCAAAAGAGGAGGCCTTATAGGTCTTCTCCTATGATAAATCGTCATGCATTGCTACAAAAGCACTATAAAGCTGATAGCATTTTTATCGGTGTTGAATAAAATATGGATTAAAATATTTGTCTACAGGCAAGCCAAATGTAACAAAAATGATTAATATATTCTGCATGTATATTTTATTTCATTTTTTACAGTTTCTCAAGAGAACTAATATCAATTCAATAAACATTTGCCAATAATCCAGGTAGAAGCACAAATACTAAACATCCGCAAAAAAGCTGTCACCAAGTCAATATTCAGCAGCAAAGCTTTATGGTGGATAACACAGCTGTAGAATAGCAGTGAAGAAATAGCTGAACACAAGGAAGAAATGAAAATATAAAATGCTGGCAATACTTTCATAGCTTCCTGAATTACTTATTTTTTAAGTTAAAAGCCTAACTAAGCTTTTGGTTAAAAACATTCTGTCCAATCATATTTTTTCTATTGCGTGCAATTTTCCAGAACCATAAAATAAATAGCACTGAAATCTATGCCTCTGGTTCCATTTCTATCTATTTAAGTTTTGCCTTAAAGAACAGTCTCTCAGGTGGCTTCACTTTTGCTAACTTGTTTTCGAAATTCTTTCTTTGCTATTATTTTCTTTCAGGAGCTTATACTGCCATTATTTTAAATATTTGCATTATAGTTGTGACATCACATAGAATTGAGGGTTTGATTGTGCCTGACGAAGAAAACAAAGAAGAACACAAAATTTACCGTGAAGATTTGTAACTTACATCTTCCATGTCTATTATCCACTTTGAAACTGACATCCTTTGATTGCACCACTCACTCCTTATCACTGCTAAATAATTCTTCCATGAGGGTTGAAGTCTTCACCCTGAACTTCAGCCTGTTATGCTCCTCTTTATTCAAAAATCTATCTTTGAATTTCCAGTCCTGGAAACAATTCTAGGATGATAGCTCTAGTTCTCTCTCACATAGCGCTCTAGTTTTCTACCGCCTCTAGCACATTTGCTGGGTTCATGACCATATTGTTTCTGCTTTTGATGAGAACAATATTTATATCTTAATTACATATAAACTCCACAATTTCAGTTCCCTCTTGTGTGATCTTTACAAATCCTTTCCAGATCGAGGGAGTGAAAAGAATGCAAGAGCCAGGAATAAAGCTGGCAGTACTCTTACAACATTTTGTTGCTTTCAAAAGCTTTGTATTTATTTTCAAACCTCATTTCAAATGAAGCCAGGGACAAAGTGCCATATGCAGATGTACCAGACTGCATCTTCCACAACCTCCAAAAAATTTAACACTATTTTAATAAATTTATTTTCCCTTTTTCATTATGTTTAGAGCAACTACCTCCAGTTACTTATTCACTAGAAGCAAACCTCCCCCATTGCCTCTGATCTCTACACCTCTTATTATGCATTCTATCTCCTTTGAGGTACGACTGTTCTCAACGCCCCTAACTACAGCCTCATAGTGTCTTTGCATGAATTTCAGCACTCAAGCTTTCTGATGCGATCCTCCTGCATATCACACCCTGCAATTTCACGCTCTTCACTATAACAAGCCCAGGACAGCCATGAAATGAAAATATCCCTCCTCCTTTCAGAGGGAGACTAGTTAACCCAGCACTTCTTAAAGGAATGTTACACTAACAGTACATAAAATTAAGAATAGACAGAATGGATGTTCTCTAAGGGATATAACCTTTGTCTAATCCTGTTATCACTACTGTATGGCATCTGAATTTCAGTTCTCTTCAAGAAGACCACCTTAGGCTTAATTTAGCATCTTTCAGGGGCTTCAGAAATATTAGTCCATCTCCTTACAATCAACATTCCCCCAGCCACGCACTGAAATCGTAAAACATCAAAAGTAATTGATATTTAAAAAAAAAAGTAGCAGAGCACGTGACTCCTATTACAGAGTATGACAACAACGGTGGTTTCAACAACTTTCGCACCAGGTAGAACGTGCAACCTTCTATGTAAATATTCTACAACACTAGAACTTGGGTAGTTTAAATTTGTGTGCTTTTTCCAAGATGCGCCAATTTCACTGACAGGAAGAATTTCCAGGTCAGCTTCTCAGGCAGTAGAGGTGGATTTACCTTCCTGGTTTCACTAAGTCAGAGAAATTACGGACCATCAATAAAAACTAGGAATCTGACTATCCAAAACAGGCAATGAAATAAAAACCAACTCTCAAACTGCTTGAGAGAAAGCATAGAGTATATAACCCCTCTATGTGACAAACCCTGCCATCCCGGCACACTTTATAGCTTTTCTTCACTTGTCCATTTGATAATTCCAAAGTACTATTTATGTCCCCCAAAAACTTGGAAAACTTGAGGGATTTTCAGAATTTTTTTTTCTATTTATGCAGTACTTCTCACTTCCTGTTATTCTTTTTAATGACTCCTTTCATTACTTACTACATAACGGAAGAGCAATCAGTGACTTCGTTTAAAATAAATTTACTTCCCTAACTCACATTTGTATGTGTGGTTTCAGGGTAGACATTCAGGTGCCTCATGTGACCTCAGTGGTTTTTTGACCAGATATGTCTGTTAGAAGTGTGGAAGTGCCCAGCACCTTTGTCTGCTTCTATGCAATGATAGAAAGGACACGAGGCAACTGCAGCCTCCAGTTACCTACATTCAAAATCCAACTTAACTGAGGATTCTCAGAGTAAGAATGGAGAACAATGTGTGGTGTACATACTCAGTGAAAAATCTCAAAAGCTTCATTCTCATAAGCAGGCATACTTTCTACTTCAACCACACATCAGTGCCATTTTCCAGTCTCAAGACCTGCAAAAACCACAGTGGAAGCACCAGTTCCCACAGTGAAAGAGAATCAAAAGTTGCCCTCCAAAAATCACACATCTACTTTACAAGACCCCAGTAATATAAGGTTTCATGAAGCGCTATGGACATGATGTTTCACTAAAAATCTTCTGTACTGGCATTTTTCTGTAAGAGCCTGAGAATGTTGTCTCAGTTCTCACAGAGCAAGTTTTGGCAAACAGTCGCTTACTCAATGCTGCCAACCAACAATACTCTATGTTATGCGCCACTATTCAGGCAAACCTTCTCTGCAATAAACTGGCCTACCTCTAAGAGCAGCCCAAGCCAGGCAATCTGAAAGATTCAGGTCAGACAAGGCAGTGATATAAAACACAACATATGTTTATGGAGAGCATATACTTTGTATAACACTTGAAATGGAGCTAGGGAATCTATCTTGACTGCTATGTCTGCTCTAACCTGGCTCAAATCACTGATGCTTCCTCACAGTTCACTGCCAGTAAGTGCGTGAACAGGACTCTGTACAGGTGCGTAGCAGAAATCTCTGGTGAGAACTCTCATGTGGCATTTGCTTTTTTTAGCTTTTCAGCATAAACTTAGATTGAGAATTAAGAATTAAATAAGACAAAAGTGAATAATGCATTCTTGATATTCTTTGGTAAAGAAATATCAAATCAACTTAACTATAGAATATACAATACATTTTGCTGTCAGAGGGAATAAAAGAATACATGGAGTTGAACCTGCTAGCCATGACAAGGAAATTCAATACCCTTTTGGAGCTCAATTGACAGCACTGTTCAAGAGAC